ATAGGAGATGATCTCTGGAACATGTCCAACAATTAAAAACTTGATAAAATCACACGGCAAAAGGGAAACAACGGTGTTGGTGTTGGTGTGAGGATTAGTGGATGACATCATTATGACCTGACCTCATGTTTAATAAGGTCACCCTGTATATTTAAGCCTCTCTCTGTCCATGTAATCCAGTTGTCTCTGAAGATGTCTTGAATAAAGACGAAAGCTAAGGTGCTCCGTTGTTTCCCTTTTCCCGTGTGATTTATAATAAAAAGTAAAATAAAATATTAATGGTAATAATGATAATAACAGCACTGTGATAATAATAATAAATAATACAAAGAAATACAAGAATGAAAAAAAATCAATAGTGAGAAACGCGGTATGTATGTTGTGTTGTCAAGTAAGAGAAACAATTGAGACCCTGCAATTGCATGTAAATGAGGCAGAAAGACAGATCAGCAACCTGGGACTTGGTCACAATTTTTGTGGTGCCATATGGCAGCAGGGTCTACCATTAGACAACACATTATGCTTCCAATATCCTCCCAGGCGGTAGTACCTCCCTGTTTGGTAGCTGCCTACAACCTACTACCAACGTATTTCCTTTAATGAGAAGTTTGGCTTTCTCTCTGGGGCCTGTCTGGGATAAATACACACAAATAATCCCAAATAATTCACAATTTTCTAATAAACTCCTGCCTTGTGGGCTCCATAATATGGTTCCACGGGCTCCAACTACAATTTGGGGACAACTGGTATAGAGTAATAAACTCAAGGTCAGGACTCCGAATGTTCTGTTTACATTTTGCGGCTCGACTCTCGGGTCCTGCCTGCAATTACTACAGTCGTATATCTCGTGTAATTTTTACATCATGTTAATATTATACTACAAGCATGTGGAAATTCGGTAATGGAGTGCCACCATTTGCCAAAAAGCAAGAAACAAAGTAGGAGACCAGGACACAGCAGAAAGCATATGACTATAGTCGGATTTTTTCCAGCAATTGGTATTTAGGCTAAGAAGTTCCCCCCTCCCCCTCCCCCTCCCCCCCCCTTGCTGCTCATTGGCAAAATAATCCTTATGACTCTTAATGGTTTAAAACATTAAATTTCAAGAAACGAATTAAAAAAGTTTGAAATTAAGAATATTTACCGTCGAAGGCTTCTTTGTATCAAGAAGTAACACAAATGCGGATTTTTTATCATTGGGAAAGTCTCTTCAGTATTAAATAGTTAATACCTTTCAATGTAACCATTTAGCTGGAGTTAGATAATGCAGAGGAACATAGAGCAAAGGATTATGATAACAGCACAATACCACGGATGAGAAATGAGACGCTCAGAGCTCTTAGGAAGTGGCAGAGATACACTGAGTTGATGAGTCGGATGTTGACAAGGAAAATACAAAAAGCTGCAGAAAAAGACGGAGCTAAAGACAGAACATACAGTACACTGCCTTGCCGATTCAGATCCCTGGTGGTACAGCATGTGCTTCTCGGGGTCAGGTATAAGAAGGGTGTTATCCAGTGTGACCCTACCAAACATCACAGGATTTCTACGGATACAACAGTTTCCTCATGTACTAACACTGGACAATGAAGGCTGTAACAAAGAACGGCTAGTACGCTAATAAATGGTGGAAATGATAAATTAGTAAAAAAAAAAAAATCGGGTCAGATTATTGACTGTTACCAACTGACTACAACACCCAAGTCATCCTTCTCTGTCATTTTAAAAACTCAAGGTGTTAATTTCCGTCGACCATATGATATGTCCCATGACTCCCTTCACCTGTCCTGCCAATAGTCGTCACTTAACATTTATCTGAGTGAAACCTGACTAACCATGTGTCCGAATATTTGAAATTGTTTTAGTGGTTGATCTTGATCTGTCTGGAGTTCAAGGAGTTTTACCACTTTTGGCCGGATGTTCGAGCATTTGTGACCTTTACTATTTGTCCTTGCTCTACCCACACCCACTAGAACCGGAAGGATGAGAGAAAATAGATTTGATCCCGGCTGCCAGTATTTTATTCATTTATTAATTTATCGGTTCTTTCCTTGATATTTTTTCTCACACTGATCATTGAAAACTAATAACGAAAAGTAGTATAGACACCAATGGCAACACAGGTGCATAGTCGTGGCTTTCTTGGGTTATCATTGATCATGTCATTATTTACACACCTGTACTATCTTTTGGCAGGATAAACCAATGTGAACTTACAAGGCGAGTTTACTGACCGTCCACCCATCCACCTAACACTGTAACGTATCACTGCCACATCATAACACGTATCGCCGCCACATCATAACACGTATCACCGCCACAACATAACACGTATCACCGCCACATCATAACACGTATCACCACCACAACATAACACGTATCACCGCCACAACATAACACGTATCACCGCCACATCATAACACATCGTCGCATCACAACACGTAACACCACCACAACACAACACATAACAACACCACAACTCAACACGTATCAACACCACAACACAACATGTATCACTACTATAACACGTAACAACATCACAACACAACACGTAACACTACAACACAACACGTATCAACACACAACACAACACGTAACAACACCACAACACAACACGTATCAACACCACAACACAACACGTAACGCTACAACACAACACGTATCACTACTATAACAACACATATCAACACCACAACACAACACGTATCCCTACTTTAACAACACGTATCAACAACACAACACGTATCAACACCACAAAACAACACGTATCAAACCACAACACAACACGTATCAACAACATAACACGTATCAACACCATAACACAATACGTATCAAACCACAACACAACACGTATCAACACTCACCGTCAGCATCCTCGACCACACAGCGTCTTGACCATGTGTGTGTATGTGGCTCCGTGGCAGGCAGAGGGAGGTGGAGGTGCTCAATAATTCCACGAGAAGGTGTGTGAAGTAGTGGGACACTATGGGATACGCTAGCGTGTACGGCGACTGACACTCACACACTGACTCCGGATGTGTGTGTGTGAGTGAGTGAGTGATGAGACAATCCTGGCAAGGTTCCGCGTCTTCTTGTGTAGAATGTAATGTTTGTATGTTCGTTAGCCTATATGTGCGTTTATGTACGTTGAGGTTATACATATATACATACATACATACATACATACATACATACATACATACTTGCATATATGTGTGTGTGTGTGTGTGCGTCAGGGTGAACATGTATATATGTAGATGTATTCGCTGTCGAGAGAGAAGTAAATGAAAGAAAACATCTGTGACTGGTGTAATATTACTGTGGGTTGATGTCTCCAGGCAGGGTGTGTTGACTGACTCTCTCACCTACCACTCTGTGTTACGGGGTTATCTTCTGATTGACCTGATCTTCTATATGTATGTATGTATGATTTTACGATTATTAGGAGGTGATATCTCTCAACAGATAAGCTGGTTTGTTCATATGAGACAGAATTATTGTAATTGTGATAGCAATTATAATTTACAAGCTCGTCAAACTATCATGCAGAACGAATAGTACTGGGCTTCAAAGTAGACCTTGACAAAATTATCAAGAAAGATAGAGGGATCCTACACAGGCCACTGGCCTCCTTCCCTCGGCATGGCCACCTCTATTGGGTGGCCATCAGGTAAATAATGGTAATAATCCACTCATAATGGAGGTGGGTGATCATAAGCAGCAACAGATCGCTAACATACTAAAAATGGAATAATGTTTACTTTGAAATATAAAATGATGAAGGTTAAGATTCTCAATGTGTATGTTGAAGGGTCATGTGACCAACTGGACCTGCCAGTCTGTACTATAGTAATATTTTAGGCAGCTATAGTGCACTCACGCTATTACGGCCCTCAAGACGGGAAGGTGAAAAAGTGTACAAAACATATACCATTAAGACGCCTGACCTATTGTGTCCTGGGGGAGGCGGTGAACATGTATTGTACAGTACAGTATATGTGAGCATCACCAGAGTTACGCTCAACTGGTCAGTGTCATGTCTCTCTCAAGAATAGATACATCACTAGAGCCGACTTAACCTAACGCTGACCTAACTTAATCTAACCTTAACTAATATAGCCTAAGCCCTCCCAGGTAGCGTTACAGTGGTTATATTTTGGTGAAATAATCTTTAGGTGATCCCCAAAACTTGTGGTGAAAATGAATCGATTTTTGCTACATTAATAGTTTCCTCAATTATCAACAGGATCCACGCGGATTAAAGCAGCACAATAACGTACCAACTACATATAGTTATCATACACCGAGCAATTAATTACTGACATAATACCTATGATGATTGTACTCTCATAACCTGTACATTGTCTCTCCTCCACAGAGATTTTGTAAATAGGATCTCAGATGATGTATCTTCCGTATATTATATTGACGGACTGACGGATAATGGAATCTCGAGAGTCAATGATCTTTATGTAAGGTGTTTGTACACTTGGATGGAAATTGTGTGGTGCGCTTGTACTGCCTCCGTAGACATGGGACAGGGCATATAACTAGGGTCTCCATATTTGAACTTTCCAAGAAGAAAGGAAGGGGGTGTGTCTGTATAAGTATCTACCAACTCATGTTGTATTAATGTGTAATATTATAACATTAATACTGACAACAAGAGCATATACAATGAGTAACAGTGGATATTAAACGTCGGTAACTGTGTACTACACCTCGTCTATATTGAGTATCTGTAAATAAGAACAAGTGTTATGGTATCAAATATCAGTGTTATAAATATTTAAATTATATTACTGCCACAGGGTTCTACATAAACATATCTAAATTTGTTTGTAAGACGACTTGCAAAATCACGGACGTTTTTAGATATTAAAAAACAAACAAAAAATGACCGGATGGAGATTTAAGGACTGAAAAGGACCAGACCTAAGGTAACACTAATGCAACTCCATCACAGCAGGGATGGAGACAAAGGATAGGTAAAGCAAAGGTAGATTTAACTTTTTAATATCAAACTGTACAATATTAATATCTTAATTTTGTGGAGCTGTAACATTATGGTTACAACAGACGTCAAGTGGTATGTTTAGGCACAGTCAGCTTCGCAATATTTTCCAAGGGCACAGACAGAAGCCGCCCAGTCGCAGATCTTAGCCTCGGGGTTATAGAGGGTGCCTGAGGAACACAACTCCTCGGTAGCGTCGTAGCCGTTGTGTGAGTTCTGCAGCAGAGAAAGTGTGAGTTCCATATTTCAGAAAGAACAAATGTGATTACAGGTATGAATACAGTTATAAATACTGATCTTACTCTTTACAACTGTCATGGCCGCCACCTAATGGTGTACTTCTCTCACGAGTGAAGTGACGCACCACACTATTATTTATCATTATACACAAAATACAGTCTAGAGCCCTTCATCTCATCAACGACTACTCCTTCACTTCATCTTTACCTCCCCTTCATGTCTCTTCACTTTCTCTCACCACCGTCAAGTTTATCAGTCCATCATTACCACACCTTACGGAGTCAGCCATAACACACGCCATTATATATTGCTGCCTCACTACATATAAGTTCCCTTTACTACCACCGTCTTCATCATTCACCCCCTACATTCCTCACACTGGTCGTCTATGGAACTCTTTCATCTCACATCTTTCTATACAGGGACAACGTACAATTTATTAAATGATGTGTAAACATTCACTACTTATTGCACAGTTAAATCACACACTTATGTCTTCCATGTGCACTGTGTACTAGACAACCCTAGCTTAAGTATGGGTCATTTGGCAGATACATCATCCTTTAGGTTACCTCCCGTCATGTGTAGCTCGATTAGTACGTTACACAGTCCAGAAACAGGAAGCTAGTTAAGGTAGATTCTCGATATAGTTATGATACTCTGGGCAGACACTTACCGGGGAACAGAGGTAATAGTGGTGGCAGTTAGCGGGGTCGGGGTTGAGGCCAGGTACTTTACACACGCCATCCGGAGGAGGAGCAGGAGAGGTGGTAGTGGTGGTGGTAGTACTGGGGGTGCTGGCAGTTCTGGTAGTGGGCGCACTCGGATCCTGGTAAAGGCAGTAAAACGGATAAGACTCGTGTCTTCATATTGAATATAAAGCCAAAATATCAAGCTAAATAATCATAGGCTGGTATTACCCGCCTGGTTTACTTGAGTTACGCGTTCTATAGTATATAGTTTTCTTTAAATTTATGAATTTAAAGAAAGTTCACGATTTTGGGAGTAACTAAGTTTTTAATCAAACTTTATCTCCTTTATCCTTTTTCTACTTGTCACTACAGTATGCTTGTTAAAGGTTGGTATTACGCAAAAATTCCTTGTGCACTGTTTAGCCTTTTATAAGGTAAGAAAACATTTGTCTTGTATTGTAATAATTGTTATGTTTTACAGTTGGTAGTTCTAGATGGAAGCGCCCAGTACGTGCAATTTTTTTGCATATAGTTCCAGAAAAACAGTGTTTTGAGGCATGGCAGGGCCAAAGGGCTGCGCTTCCTGTATTATTTTTACTTTATTAATAAATTTAGTGCTCTAAAGGGATAATGCTTACCTTGTCTGGCGGTCGAAAAAAACATGGTAATGGGGCTTGGCCTGGGGTCCTGGGTTAGACACCTCTATGCTAGACTATTACCTAAAACTAGTATGATATTCGAAATAACTTAAATAGCACCTGAGAGATGAAACAGTTCATTATATGACAATTCAACCAAGTCGAAGCAGTGAGAGTTTTTAATAAATATTTATAATTTTTACCCTATGTCAGCTTATTAGCTGGTCGGGTGGTTGGTCTACTCTGATACACACATCTGTTCTCAGTTATAACCTTCATTGTCCAATGTTAATACAGAAGGAAACTGGAGTACCCAGAGAAAACCTGTGACGTTTGGTAGGGTCACACTGGACAGCACCCCCACATCCGACCCAGCGATCGAACTCGGGACGCAAGGCATTACCGCAGTACCACCAATCAGTTGAGACATGTGGATTAGTGTCATAACTGATAGAGCAACAGATGGTATCTCTGAGAGGGACTTACCAGAGTGGTAGTAGGTGGAGGAGGAGGCACAGTGATAACTCCGCCGCTGTAAGTCTCCCTCAAGGTCTTGATGAGGTCGAAGGTGCGGTCGTGGCACTTGCCCTTGAAGTCGTCCGTCTCAATACTCCAAACCATCATACCGGCCAAGTTCATCTCCTTGGCATAGTTGGCCTGCACGGGTAACAAACATCATCAAAGACTCACCTGAATTACTTTATCTCTCACATTTGTATCTTGTGCAGTGAAGCTAATATTTTGCAAGAGGATATGAAGGAATATTCAAGGATCACCTGGTAATTGGACACCCAAGCTTATTTAACCTGAATATTAACCACCCAAAAGCTCCCTTGGGGGCGGGGTGCTTAGGATAGGTGAGGATAGATTCAAATAGATTAAATTAGCATCTGGGTGATTAATCTTTAGGTGATCAATTTTGGTGCCTACTGTATAAAGACAGTTAGCCCATTATGCCAGATCATTACCCGGTGGGAGTCCAACCACGTATTACCTTCACCACGCAGGAGTCGTGGTCATCATAGGAGCACCAGATCCTCTCATGGCTGTAGCTGTAGGTGTAGGGCTCGTTCATACCTGGTGCTATCTCTACCACCCAGTCACTCTCTGTCTTCTGGAACTCACAGATCTGTGCCAGAGAAAATCAGAGGGTTAGCATTAATTTAATACTGTAATGCTGAGAAAAGATACATTTAAGCACATGAAGTATTGTTGCGTTTGACAGCTGCAAATATTCAAACTTGTTGAGTTAGTATAAAATGAAAATGGGTGAATTAGATGTGTGTTAACAGATGCTTGAATATCCAACACTGAAAGAGCTGTAAGTTTTAAGTTTCAAGTGGATGGAAAGAACAGGGAATTTCATAGACAAAAATGCTATGAATTAAATTAATTGATCCTGAACTTCAATGAAAGATAATTTACAGCGTGATTATCGCCTTCTGGTATTGTGATATTGATTGTTTCAAGTCATTCTGATTAGACATACTGTGCAACCGCTACCCTCTCCTTCCCCAGACTCCCTCCCCCTCCCACACACACACAATTAGTATCACCATAGTTGTTCATTACCTCGTTGTAGCCTAAAAATCCTGGACTCCTGGTGTAGGGTCCTGCAGGTCCTGGCTGGCTGGCGGGGGCGTAGTAGCCGGTTTCCTCCGTGTTGTAGTCCAGTTTCCAGCAGCGACCATACAGAGGGACACCCAGTGCGATCTTGGTGCTTGGCATTCCTCCATCTATCCAGTACCTCACAGCGAAGTCCTGCACACATAACACCATTACGTGGCGAGACACAGTCAGTGTAGGACATGGATATAGCAAGTGTATTCCTGTCTTCAGTTTATAGAATCTGAGCATCTACTTGTTAGATATACTGTATGTTTGACAGCCTTGATTATAGATGCCTGATATAATTATATTAAATTATCTATTTTTATACACTACACTGTGAATCTATATTTAAACGTGCCCAAGTGTGTGAGTGACTGTGAGTTACCATATTAGTTAAGAATTATCCTAAGCATCTGAATCAGTTGTCTTGTGCATCAAGGTATATCAGAGAGGCAGGTGACTCACCTGGTTGAGGTAGACATTATCTCCCGTGTCGTCGGGGTACTGGTAGAGGCCAGACTGGTGGTGGGTGTAGGGGTCCCAGGCACCATGCAGGTCGTATGCCATCAGGTTCATAATATCAAGATTCTTAGCCATACCCGGGATGTCATAGGCTGGGTCGATGGTGAGCTTACCGGCTGACACAGCTGCCGTCAGGATCATGTTGTTAGCGTGTAGCGCCGTTGAGAGGTCTGACAGAAGGCTGATGAAGTTCACCTGTGAGAAACAACACCACATGTGTCAATGTTGCTGTTCCTTTTTTTTTAAGCTCTGTCGTCTTTCCATTAGTTAACTAAGCTTGTTTTGGGGAATCTGGACACAGCCAAGACATTGTCGGGGTTGGACCTGAGGCTTTCTCTTCTTTGCCAGTGACCTTTCCAAGATAATCAGCCACTAAAAAATCCCATGTTCCATGTGTACAACATTAATTCTTATTCACTTCGTTGTAACAAACAAAACAGTCCTAGAGCTTAGTAAGTTGGCCCTATAGGTGTTAATGTTGACACAACAACACAACAGTCAGTGACTCACCTTGTCCTCTGGCTTGCCTCCACGCTGTGTCGGGTACTCCCAGTCCATGTCCAGACCATCGAATTTGTGGGCCTTCAACAGCTCTATAGAGGAGTCGACGAAGGTCTTCCTGAGGCCAGCGTTCTTGGCCATCTATGAAAAGTAGCAAAGAGAAGATCACTGTAGTCTTTTACTGACATTCGTAATGTTATTAACAGCAGAGATCTTCCAGGTATTGTTTGCTTACACCTCACCACACACCTCCACGTAGCGTAAGGATATCTCCCTGAGTGTTAACTGTTGTAATAACCGTAAAGCAAATTGTGTACATGTGCTGAGAAGTGGAAGATAAATTTTAGGAGTAACCAAGATATGAATGAGTGTGTAGACAGGAGAAGGAAATATACGAGTAAAATAAGGTTTAGGTGAATATGAAGAAAGTAAGGAAGTGGCAAAAGTGTAAATTAACATTTAGAACAAAAAGTAAAAAAGAAATTGAAGACGTTAATAAGTATGAAGAAACAGATGCTATTACTTACATTAGAATACTTGGTGGATCCCTCGTTCCAGCCACCAACAGCCAAGATGGTGACCAATTCTGCATTCTGCTCCTTGAGGGCGGTGAACCTGTTGTAGGCGCACTTGCCATAGTTCTCACACAGCTCGTTGTATGGGTCCAGCACCTGTGTACCACATGATATAATAATCTGCATACACTTCTTTATAAGACATTATTACAGTTGTATTGCATATTATTATTTTTTTTTATTGTCAGAAATATTCGGACGAGTAATGGACATTATATAATTAATCGGTTGTTTTTTGTTTTTGTTTCTTTCACTAATGTATACGGTGATGGTTGTATATACAGGATGTTTCAGAAATACGTTTCATAATTTTGAGGTATATTCCTGAGACATAAATAAGGATAAATGACTCCACATGGCCATAGTGTTAATATCCCATAGTTTCAGAGTTATAACACATGACAGTTGGGGGGGTTGGCATGTGATAAAATCTATGGAGAATAAATGAAATATTCAGTGTTGCTAGTACAATTTATTTACTATCATATGCAATCTGATATGGATTTTACAGTACATGTTCAAAGTTCCGGCTCTCTTCCTGAATGTTACCTCTTACTTAAAATAGAGCTTGATATTTCATGTTTTTTGTCTATAGACGTGTTGCAGTCCTTCCGTACCCAATTCTGTGCTAAGAAACTATGGAGTATGGACACTCTGGTCATGGAGTTATGTATTCTTATGTATGTCTCAGGAATACACCGCCCAAATTACTAAAGGTATATTACCGAAACACTCTGTAGTATATGAAAATTACAAGCTAAAACTATGCCTATATGTTACTTATAACCAACCTTGTAGAACACAGTGTACCAAGGAGAGAAACTATAAGCAAATGGTTAAGTTTGTGAGGGTCGGTATGGTCAGGTTGTGGAGCGCCATGAGGGGGCCTTCATCCTGTAGTGGCCTGATGATGGAGGACGACTTTACCCTATTGTAGGCTGATACAGGAGGATGATAATGATGATGATGATGAAGCGGAGGAGGATGATAATGATGATGATGATGAAGCGGAGGAGGATGATAATGATGATGATGATGAAGCGGAGGAGGAGGAGGATGATAATGATGATGAAGCGGAGGAGGAGGAGGATGATGATGATGATGAAGCGGAGGAGGAGGAGGAGGATGATGATGATGATGATGATGAAGGGAGGAGGAGGAGGATGATGATGAGAGAGAGGAGGATGGAGGAGGAGGAGGATGATGATGATGAAGGGAGGAGGAGGAGGATGATGATGATGAAGGGAGGAGGAGGAGGAGGATGATGATGATGATGATGAAGGAGGGAGGAGGAGGAGGATGAGGATGATGATGAAGGGAGGAGAAGGAGGATGATGATGATGATGATGAAGCGGAGGAGGAGGATGATGATGATGATGATGATGAAGGGAGGAGGAGGAGGATGATGATGATGATGATGATGAAGGAGGGAGGAGGATGATGATGATGATGAAGGGATGAGGATGATGATGAAGGGAGGAGGAGGAGGATGGAGGATGAAGCGGAGGAGGAGGATGATGATGATGAAGGGAGGAGGAGGAGGATGAGATGAGGGAGGAGGAGATGATGATGATGAAGGGGAGGAGAGGAGATGATGATGATGATGATGATGAGGGAGGAGGAGGAGGATGATGATGATGATGAAGGGAGGAGGAGGATGATGATGATGGAAGGGGAGGAGGAGGAGGATGATGATGAAGGGAGGAGGATGAGGATGATGATGATGAAGGGAGGAGGAGGAGGATGATGATGATGAAGGAGGAGGAGAGGGGATGAGGATGATGATGATGAAGGGAGGAGGAGGAGGATGATGATGATGATGATGAAGGGGAGGAGGAGGATGATGATGATGAAGCGGAGGAGGAGGAGGATGATGATGATGATGAGCGGAGGAGGAGGAGGATGAGGATGATGATGATGAAGCGGAGGAGGAGGAGGGATGATGATGATGATGAAGGGAGGAGGAGGATGATGATGATGATGAAGGAGGAGGATGGATGATGATGATGAAGGGAGGAGGAGGAGGATGATGATGATGATGATGATGATGAAGGGAGGAGGAGGAGGATGATGATGATGATGATGTGGAGGAGAGAGGAGGATGATGATGATGAAGATGGAGGAGGAGGAGGATGATGATGATGGGGGATGGAGGATGATGATGAAGATGATGAGGAGGAGGAGGATGATGATGATGATGATGAGGGAGGAGGAGGAGGAGGATGATGATGATGATGATGAAGGGAGGAGGAGGAGGATGAGGAGGAGAGATGATGATGAAGAGGAGGAGGAGGAGGATGAGGATGATGAAGGAGAGGGAGGAGGAGGAGGATGATGAGACGAGAGAGGATGATGATGATGAAGCGGAGGAGGAGGAGGATGATGATGATGAAGATGATGATGATGAAGGAGGAGGAGGAGGATGATGATGATGATGAGGAAGGAGGGAGGAGGAGGAGGATGATGATGATGAAGCGGGAGGAGGGATGATGATGATGATGATGAAGGGAGGAGGAGGAGGATGATGATGATGATGAAGGGAGGAGGAGGAGGATGATGATGATGAAGGGAGGAGGATGATGATGATGATGATGAAGCGGAGGAGGAGGAGGATGATGATGATGATGATGATGATGAGGAGGAGGAGGAGATGAGATGATGATGATGATGAAGGAGGAGGAGGAGGATGATGATGATGAAGGGAGGAGGAGAGGGATGATGATGATGATGATGATGAAGCGGAGGAGGAGGAGGAGGATGATGATGATGATGATGAAGGGAGGAGGAGGAGGAGGATGAAGATGAATGAGGAGGAGGAGGATGATGATGATGATGATGATGATGATGATGATGAAGGGAGGAGGAGGAGGATGATAATGATGATGAAGCGGAGGAGGAGGAGGATGATGATGATGAAGCGGAGGAGGAGGATGATGATGATGATGATGATGAAGCGGAGGAGGATGATGATGATGATGATGACTATTGGGAGTAGCATGGTGATGTTTAGGAGGAGGCTGAGAAGAAGGATGATGATGATGGTGAAGAGGAATGGTGATGATTAGGAGGAGGAAGAAGAAGATAATTATAATATATGTGTACATTGTTCATAATAATAGGTATACTGTATGCTTACCCTGATTTTGTTATCCCAACCAAGACCAGCGAAGCCGAAGATGAGATGTGTACAGATGTCAGGGTCGATGGCCTCCACGTCGAACTTGCCGTCACCTGTCCTGTACACGGCCCAGGACCCGTAGTAACACACCATCACGCCCTCTGTACACACCACACAGGTAACTCATTCACTATGTATTCAATGCCATACTTTCATTATTCCTATTTTAAGTGTTCAGTCAAACTAAATCCTCAACTGTTGTTTCGCCAGATCTTTGTCATTTCTAGGTACAGATATAAAAGACATATTCAGTACCTAGTATTCGTAAGTAAATTGATATATCTGTATGTACTTAACGCACGAAAAAAAAAGTTTCCTTGCGATTTTGTGTTAAACAATATGACACAACGGACGAAAGATTTTGACAACCCTACCAAGACAACAAGAATCGCAGTGTTCATTTTGGAATTCATCGGACCCCTCCATAAAGATACTTGTTTTGAGTGTCTGTGTAATGACTACAGTCATACATGTTAGTTAACGTAAAATCAGATGATTCATATTACGCTCAATAGCCCATAAAACATGTAGCTATAACATATTTCTTGAGTCCCCCAACCGAGACGTCTGTTTTCTGTCGTCAGTTTCAGGACTCTACTGAGACGTCCATTTTCTGTATCGTTCGTTCAGAATGTTAAGATGTTTACGTTTGCATATTTGAAATTATAAATGAATGCGTATGTGTCACTGTAAGATATATATAGCTGCTTGTAGCTGAAACATTAAAGATCCATTGTGAGTGATGTTGAAAGCTTCAACTGTATTTACCTTTAGTAAAATTGTCAAGTAAGTTGTGTGTTAAGAGTTGGCAAAATAGGCGAGAATCCTGTTCCCGCAATGCAAGACGTTATGAGACTTCTATCCACCACTGAAGTCAGACTGTTTTGATTCACAATCATCAGAGAATCTGATGACTGTATTGAAATTATTGTCAATTTTGTATTTAAGAAGTTCATTAATCATTTGAGAGAAACGTGTCTCTTGCTCACTGTTCTGAAATTTAACTGCTGAGCTTCAATAGGCCTCTGTCGTATTTACGCCTATTCAGCACAAAGTGCGAGTGCCAGTCAACGCACTGCGTGCCATTTAATTATTGCAATGCAAACTCAAACAGTGAGTAGATTGTAAGCATTAGCCGTAAGAAAATGATGTGACCCCTGACACTGATTCTCATAGCCCAATGTGTACCGCAACTGAGTCAAATGAATATGTGAGTGAAGTCCCAAGGATGGCACCTTGCATATTTAAACTGGGACGTAGGGGAGAAAAGCTTCGTTCTGATCGCTGCTCCCCATCTAACAGGTATGTACTGTACAGTAGCTCAAACAACTATCTGTGCATACTTTGTGGGAAACAATATGAGACCATGGACGATAAATTTTGGTATATGAGCGCTGTCACTAGTCACACGTAAAATTTCGGAGCATATCGACCTCCACCTGCACAGAGAGTTGTTTTAGCTACTGTACAGTCGCCGACAAACGTTCTCTCCCCGTGATGAAACTGAGTCATGAGAATGAGTCTCCGAACTTGCTTACCTTGGCTGCGGTTGTGCTGGTTCATCTCATTTGTGGTCGACACAGCTTCATTTTAGGAGGGAGCGAACTTTTGACAACGACTGTAGTACATCGCACCTCGCACCACTCAGTGTAACTTTGTTGAATATATCAGTGTTCCTGTTTAACGTAGTTGAACGTTTTATGTGTTTAGTGATCCAGTAGCGTAATTGACTGTCTGCCCAAAGTGTTCAGTGCGACCTGTTCCCTTGCCAGACATGTTTTGCGACATTTTGTATTTTGACTTTATTCATTCTGATCGCTGCTCACCCGCCTAACAGGCACTGTATGTGTTGTTGTCACTGCTAAGGATTGGTAGTTGGCTGCAGACAAGATGTCCGATGCAGGATGTCTTTAATACAGTGAGATTAATATCTGAGTGTGGGACACTCCAAGGAGCGAGAGTACGGGTTCACTGATTTGCTCTGGAGTACGACGAGCCCTGCTGCAGATTCAGAGTGTAGCTGACTGGCATTTGTTTTGAATACCAACCAGTGGTATAAGACTGGTGAACTCCTCTTGATTGTATGTGCTAATATTTCTTGTATGCATTAATGTAGATGGATTATCGGAAAGATAGCTGTCCCAGGTCGATTATTAAGACCAGAAATATTACGTTCACCAGGATTATAGTTGTGATGTATTTCAGTGAACCAGCTGTACTCACAGATGAGATGTGCTGGTATATGTTTTCATGTTAATCAAGTACAGTATTAGCATGGTGCCCTAAGTAATACCATCACTCTGTGTTATTGACAGGTGTTTAGAGTGACTACCACTATTGTTACTGTTGTGTAATAATACCCTTAAGGCGGCATAATTATTGAATGTTGTAAATGATAACTGAAGATCTGTTTTTGCTACTTACAGAGTACAACCTATTGGTCAGTTCTATTTTGTGTAAGTGTTATGGTATTTAATAAATAATGATTAAGTATAGTGTTTGTGTATATGGGCGAATCCAGGAATATCAAGAGGGCGGGTCCACGAAGTTTTGGGTGGGGAAACAAGGCGAGCAAAGCGAACCCACCCAGCTGTTTTTTTTTTTTTAAGGTGGGGGGGGTAGCCACCAAATATGTAATAAAGTACCTATGGTGGTCTGTTAACCCGTAGAAGTAGTCCAAGCAGGATATAGAAAACCTCAACAGCAAAAACTAAGAGAATTTATTTTTTCACCCCACGAGTATCAGATATGGCCATAGAATGACATGTTAAAAATTTAGAGAAATCACCTGTTGTGAAGACTACTTAATATGCATGATTCGATAAAGGCAACCATCATACTCATTATTTTATTCTAATGATCATTCTTTAACTTCAAAATAAGTGTTGTACCTTTTCTCTTACAAAAGTTAAACTGTTATTAAAATATAAATATATTATGACTAGTAGAACTCTATGGAACCTGCAACATAACAATATCTGTAGAGTAAAGAATAATAATAAAATTTGCAAGACAATCAGTTAACCCCTACACTAATTATTAGCTTAATTTACCTAGTACTTTTTCCAGAAAAATTGGACCTAACGTTTCATAACCAAACCCAACTACTGTACATCTATTAAGACTTATTTTAAATTAATTCAACGTATCCCAACATAATGTGACCTAAACTAATTTTCGTTGGCCCGTACAGTATTTATTAATTTTCTCGTTCAAAGGCACTATTTCAACAGTTAATTCCCCCTAACCTACATTTAATCATAAATTGTATGAAATACAATCTAGTATCTGTAGCAATACCTGACAATCAATTTGGCCCTCAACCTATTATTAGCTAAATTCACCAAGTGTAAAATTTTTAGAAGCTACTTCGCCAGGAATTTCCAGCCGGGCAGCCAAGAGGCTGTAGTATTCCACCTTGTGTCTTGACTTGAGCATTTTAGTTCGAACGAACCGAACGAGTAGACAGCGCAGAGCAGAATTCGGCTAGAAAGTACGTGTCTCCAAGCCGAGGCGGGCGAGCCAAACCTTTTCCGTAGCTTGTCAGTAAATAGTTCGTGCTCAAAAGGATTCAGTTGCTCGTGGTGCGCAGTCAGGACAGGTGTTCGCGCTGTTCCAGCTATTTGGTGTCTTTTATATTTATCATGGAGTGGGACAGCGAGAATTGTTTAACCTTGCTTGATGAATATGAGAAGTATCCTGAACTTTGGAGTCCTCAACGTGGCTTATACTACAATAAAGCCAAGAAGCATGATTGCTGGACTAGCGTTGCACAAGTTCTTAACTGTCCTCTGGGAGAAACGCAGAAGAAAATGGCAAGCTTGCTTGCCAGCTTCAGGAGGGAAAAAGCAAAGGGAAAGAAAACTGCTGGGCTGGCAAAGGTAAGCTATTTTACTAATTAACTATCAAACGCCAAATTGATTTATATGATGAAAAATAATAACTATAAATAAATAAGAAATAAGATTATTATATTATTATGCAAACCGTTTGAATAGTCTCCTCACTTTCCTCTTCTTTTTGGCTAAGGAATAAATAATGAAGTAAGCACCTGCTGCCACTGTCAAAGCCATATTGAAACAAGGAAAACAGTGGGAATAAGAAGAGCAGCGGCGAACACACAGAATACAGCGAGCAGCTCTTTCGGTTCGTCCATGAGCTCTCGTCTTGTTCGGTTCATTCATACTAAAAGGCTCAAGTCAAGACGCACCATTAGGAATACATCACTTATGTGTTAGTAGGTGGACATATTACTATTGATTTATAGTGAAAAATTAAATCTTGCAGTATTGGGGAGATTTGAGCACAGTACTTTTGCTCATTGACTGACTGGATTAAAGGTGGGAGATAACAACTGTATTATATGAATGGTAGTACTGAAACATCTATGGCCAGTTAGCTACCTTGATCAACTAAAAGTGAGTGAAACAAATAGCCAAGTTAGTTTTACCTGTAAGAGAGACAGTGATGGCGAGGAGTGAAAGAGGTAATAACAATCTCATGTTCTTAGGCTAATTTTCAAGCGTAGTGTTGTCACCTCCTTGTTTAAACTCCAGCTGGCTACTGGTGCTCTGTTTAGTCTACTGGGCCTTATATACCCACAGATTGATCCACTTCATGGCAACAAAGTCTTAATAAAACTACCAGATGATTTTGTTAAGTGTTTCCCAAAGGTGGCTGCCTGGGTCACTGGTGGCTGCTGAAGATGAGGGTAAGGCCAACTGGCACCAATGTGTCATCACCTCAAGGACAGACCGATATTTTTTTCTCTTTCTGGTTTATTAGAAGCAACAGCTGACGACAATTTTCTTGAGAACTCCAAATATTGCTGTGTCTTATGAGAAACATCCAGCTGTTGAATTTCTCCATCTGATTCATATGAAGTATCAGCTGTACCAGAAGTTTCTTTTTGTTTGTTGTTTTGTTAACAAGAGTATTCGTTTCCTTTCTTTCTTCTTTTTTTTAACTTCATTTTGTATATTGTTCACAACAGAAATGAGCTTTAAATACATGAAAAGAGTATTTATGTGCTTATATATCCGTTTACTTGTATTTAATTGTTGATATGTGTTAAATTCTCTAAAATTAAGCTTTTTTTTTAATTTTATCTTTGATGCGTGGCAGTTTGAGTGCCAGAGGCAAAGGTGAGGGTCACAAAACTGCCTTGATGACAAACCAGGATTCACACATTTGCCAAACTGTGTCTCCTTGATCATAAAGATTTATCATTAGTTAAGTAGTAGCAGAACAGGTACAAGCATAGGTAAAGAGGTTTGACAATGACCACACTACATCAAACATCAGTCAGGATCACTGAATATATTTTCGAGGAGTGATCAAAAACTTTGGTGAATGTTACAAAAATACCATTTTATTGAACATTACACACTACTTCTTTCATCCCCTTCAAAATACTCCCCTCCCGGACATACGCATTTGTTCCACACCTTTCCTGCCACTGCTGGAAACATTGCTAAAAGTCCTTCTTGTTGATCTTCAGAAGAGTTGTCGTCTTGGATTGGATGTCCTCGGTTGTATTGGAACGTTTCCGTTTCATCGTGCATTTCAGTTTGGGGAACAGTCAGAAATCTCAAAATGCTAAGTCGGGTGAATAAGGCTGATGCAGGGCAAGAGGGATGTTTTCCCCTGTCCTTTGTTCGTTTTGTTGACGGGTGACCACTTCTTTTCTCATCATCCAGCGACTCATTTCTTTAAAAAAAGTGTTGAACCCACTTGAAAGCAGTCTTCTTGGTCACAGCTTCATCTGCATAAACTGTTACTTGCCGTCTTGCCAAGCTCAAACTGCACCATATTTACAAATGCGCTTAATGCTGCAGACAGGTCCTCATTCAAAGCCATGCCACGGCACTCTGGTGTCTAATGGTGTCTGCTGGCTGTTGGTAACTAGGAAGATGGGTGATGTAAGTCCCACCCAGAGGCGTAACAATTATTATCACATTCCTTGGTAGCCATACCATTCACCAATCTTCTTGATCACCGTATATTAGGTCACATCATCGTGTACAAAATAACGGTGGTTTTTATATATTTAAGACAAAACTGTTTTTTATATAAAGATACTGTAGATAATGGCATACAAACAATACATGAGTAGCAGCATTAAAACCATACATAACATATCATACTGGTAACATAACGGAATGTTACTTAATACAATTTCAGGAAGCAGCGGGCTGAGGAAAGTGGGTATCGAGGGACATATGGAGGTGGGTGATGCTGGCCTGTGTGCATAGAGAGAAGTAAATTAGATGGATATGTAAAGCTGTAAGAATGAATCAATGACAGTGAGTGAAGGGAGAATGTGTATATGTGGGATAATTACAAATCTTTCAAACTGGGTAATAAAGAATGCCATTACTAAGCTAATTAACCTAACCTGACCTAACTTACCTTCAATACGTAACCTAATATATCATAACTTACTTTACTTCATTTTGTTATAGTAAATATCTTAATTGTACCAAAGTAACTTTTACCATTTATGAAGTGCTGTAATATCGATTAGTTACAGCAATTATAAAAGTTATTTTACTTTCATAAAAATGCCGGGTACATTTTAAGGTTTAATCAAACGACATGCACAATAAAGTAAGAAGACACGTGATTCAGGTAACAACAACTAGGAGACAAACAAGACAAGGCACAAGCACCTTTGTTTACTGATGTAGAGCTGCAGAGACTGTTGACCTCCCTATAAAGAGGATGCAAAGAAAAAACAATGGCGCTTACAATAGAGCTCTTTGTGTTTACGAGAGGTCACCAGCACACACACACACACACACATAAATATATATATATATATATATATATATATATATATATATATATATATATATATATATATATATATATATATATATATATATATATATATATATATATATTAGGTAACTTGTACAATACATTAGTTACCTGTAGTAGGTAGTAGGCAGTTACCAAACAGGGAGGTACTACCGCCCGGGAAGATATTGGAAGCATAATGTGTTGTCTAATGGTAGACCCTGCTGCCATATGGCATCACAAAAATTGTGACCAAGTCCCAGGTTGCTGATCTGACTTTCTGCCTCATTTACACACAGTTACAGGGTCTCAATTGTTTCTCTTACTATTGACAACACAACATATATCTATCGTTTCTCACTATTGATTTTTTTTTGCATCTGTTTATGGTTCTATATTATTATTATTATTATTATTATTATTATTATTATTATTATTATTATTATTATTATTATTATTATTATTATTTTTATTTTTATTATTATTATTATTATTATTATTATTATATTATTATTATTATTATTATTATTATTATTATTATTATTATTATTATTATTATTATTATTATTATTATTATTATTATTATTATTATTATTATTATTATTCGCCTCTCTGACCCTAATGTGGGTCAGTGACCTGTGCGAGGGTGGGCTAATCCCCATTAAAAAAAAATATATAGGCATTTGGTTTAATGTATTGTATGTCAAGTTATATTAATCACTCAGCCTCACAGTAACAATTGATAGACGGTAGTTATTCCAGTCATATATGAGAGCCATTTTTTCCTATTTGTTAATGTAGTTTAATTGGTCAATTATCATTTTGGAGAGACAAAAAATGTTGAAGATATATAAAAATCTTAAAACCATATGTGGTATAGCACTGGCCAGTGTTGTCATACTTTATTAGGTTAAATTAAGGTTTGCGTTTAACCTGAGACGAGTTTGTGAGAAAGTGACACCTGATACACGTCAACATTGCCAGAGGAACGGAATGTCTGTTCGGTACTGATGTCCTTGTGATTGATAAAACAGAGTTAGTGAGAAAGCCTGTAGCAACACCTACCAGCTATGGGCTTCCCCCCCCCACCCCCCCAGCTGTCTGTAAGGCGCCAACCTTGCACATCTAGACACTCCCAGAGTTATTTTTGTTTTCCTGTGTGGGAACTCTCTCCCAGTCATAGCTGCTGTGTCGGTATACCTGTACTCCACACCCTCATCACGTGCTTTACTAGCCAGCCACAAAGGATTTTGTGTTTTTGTCGAAATTGTTCAGAATTGCTATGCTATGTTGATTATCAGGTACAAATTTAGCTCCACCAGCAACTCTATGTTCAACTATTACAAACTCACTCACTCACTCATGGATAATTACAATATTTATATATATGCTGGCACAGTGTACAGTACGAGTAATTCATTAATGATTAAATGCGTTTGTGAAAAATTTGGTGTATATTACCATGTGTAACTTTGTGTGGGTACCCGTGTTGTTCAGAAGCCAGCCAGAGGTCAGGTCATCGCTTAGATCATAAGTGTGCAAGGTTAGATAATTTCTCATTGAAAACGGGACCCCTCCGCGCAGTGATGTCATGCAGCAGTACTCCGCTCGCTTCACCCGGTCATATGAGGCCAGTTGAAATTTGACTTTGCCTGAGTAAAGGTTCAAAGATCCTGATATTCCTCCTTTGTAATTTGGTGACTTTACTTCACAATACGATGCAGTATGGCTTATTGTACGGTTTACTGGTACAAGTCTAATCATAATGGGAAATTTGCATTGTTTTAGTACCCTGTGCAGCAAGAGAGAGAGAGTTGGAAGAGATTTTGAGAGATAAAATATAAAAGAAAGCATTGACGAGTATGTTCCTTCCAAAACTCTGATAATTAGTACAGTAATAATAATGTCTACAGCAAATACCTCTGTGTAACAAGAATAATATGACTAATAAAATTACATTGTAAAAATTGAAATAAAATTTAAAAAAAGGTGAGATAGAGATAAGCAGATAGAATTAAATTTACAAAATAGATTGAAAGATAAATATGCATATAGATATATAGATAGTGTGAGAGAGACCATTTCGAGATAACATATTTCTCATAGTTACCCTTCATTCCTTCCCTAGTTTCTTTGAATGATACCCACCCCTCCACACCCCACAAAACAACTGTCACCAAACTTGCGCCTGGACCGCACGTACACATAATTGGTGTACACATCTGGTGGAGAATTTTTAAAGGTTGTAACATTGTAGGTTCGTCGTAAATGTAGATGTAAGAATACCAGTTGGCTGAAGTGATACCACAAGCATATATTCCAAGATGGCATCAAAATATCAGGGAGATTGTTCGTAAACTTACGTGTCGACAGAATATTAATGAAAAATATACCTGTAAAATAAGAAACAGGGAGAATTTTGCACCCCACAAGTGATCACTACCACAGTGTTAAACATAGGGAGATGATATTTGGTGTTTCTTCTTTGCATGTGCAATTGATCTTGGTCAAGGGTAACATAGACTATGAGCTGCCCCTTTGATTCTTAAGGGGGTTGTGGCTGCACCCATTCTGGATAAATATACTGGAAAAACAAACCAACTAGTTGAATATATAAAGCACATTGTCAGGTTTTTTTTTTTTACGGGAATTAGCCCACCCGGGCACAGGTCGAACGACCCACAACAGGGCCTAGGGGGCGAAAAAATAAGAATAGAAAGAAATTTAAAATAGAAAAGAAAAAGGTTATATTAATCTACACCAC